GCAGGAATCGAACCATGTGAGTTGATCTCGAATTATGGGCATGGGTGCGACGCCGACGTCAAGTCCGAATCCTTTTCTATAGCATATTTTATTTATTTTCACTTCCCAACTCACTGGTACAACAAAACGAGCAGTGCCCTGGAACCATCAAGTTGTTGCCACCGTAGCCTTCCAGTAGACTCATGCAGACGTTCCAAGATCAACCCTTTATTCGTAGTCGTCCGAATCCACGGGTTTCGATTTCATCGCTTGCGCCTCCGTGTTGGCGGTGGTATTACTAACCTACCCAAACAGAGCCGTTTTGTTTGCAGACTTGGCAAAGGCACCTTTGAGCTGCAATTCTTTTCATCTGCATCCGAAGCCATGCCTCGAAATAGAAGGCTTGATATGTATTTGGTGTCCTATTTATTGCTTTCACATTCGTACGGTATTCTTTTTCTCCGATGCCCATGTTTCACAATCACAGTAAACGGGCATCTGTAAGAAAAGTCGTCTACTTTTGACTAGTGACAATCAATTTTCAGTAGAATCAAGCCGGAAACTCTACGCCGGTTCCTTTTGATTTCACTTTTTTTCCGATTCTTCGGATGAGCCCGGCCACTTGAGGAGCTGGGTTGTATCAGCATGTTTGCGAATCGTAGGCTGTGAAGAACATAGTAAGACATCATCATTGTGGAGATGATCTCGCATGAAAAACTAATATATTTCACTAGTGAATTCATCAAGTCACCAGTGCATAGTGAGAATGAATAGCAGAAGATAAGGAATCGCGTTTCGGGCCAGTCGAATCCGCTGAAGGGTTGCTGAATTTCGTTTTTGCAATATCGCAGCTGAGTTTTCTAAAACGCTTAGAGGAATCGTCCACGGAAGAGCTGTTCCGAAGTTCACCATTCATATAAGCTCTTCAATCTTGCCATCTCCGACTTCGCACTTCAGCGGGTGCTTATTTACCAAGAAGTTTTTTGTCAAGTAGACACTAATTTCACAGAACGGCCTTTCCTTGCAATGAATGCACCATTTAGTATTAGTGGTTTTCTGCATATCGCGGTTTAAATCCATCACATTTCAGGCTCATCCCTGGAGGTGAAGCGTTGTTTTATTTTTCGCATGGGCCGTGTAAGCTTATTGGACCCATTGTATGCTACGTGGGGTCAGGTTTAATCTGCGAAGCTTTTATGAGTGTTTTCATATGGACTATTAATATTGCATTTTCAGATACAGTTTCATGTTGCACGGCTATGCTCACTGGTTATGGAGTTTACTGTTTTCATTTTTCATATCGCTACTACATATTAGGGCATTCCGCTCCAAAACCTAGCCGTGTTGCATTTATTATTATGCTACTTTATGTGCCTTCTTTCATCCAATTTGTGGGTTCCACTCATGTAACTGTTGAACGTATGTGGCCATTGAAATTTCCCTTGACTTCTCTTTCTTCACTTCATTACCTCTCCATTATGAATCCGTTCAACTTAGATTGCGTTAAAGGAATCCTTGTCGGAAAAATCGTGATTCTATTTCACCCATAATTCACTGGCTTGGGACCCATCGTTCACGATAAGAACGAAAAGAACAGAAAAATTGCATTTGTTTTGGTAAAAAATTCGAAAAACCGAAAGGGCTGCTACGCGTTCAAAGTACCGCCGGACATCTGTCACAAATGCTGGCGACGGGAATCCTCTTAGTACTAACACTAGAACTCTTTCTGGCCTTTTTACTTATTGCATTAACATCTCACACTTCTACTGCATCCTATTCTATCGATCGATTTGTCTCTACTCTCCAAAATCGCACGCTTTAACCCGATTCTTTCATTGCGTCGCCTGATACGTAGCCGCCCCAAGGCGGACTTCTTTCCATGCCCCGCCTTTGGCTCCGCGCCGAATTACCTTCGATTGTCCATAGAGTGTGGTTTTTGTAAGTTTGTTTCTCTTCGGAAACCGAATGCGTGAAACTTTGTATGTTGTCTCTAGTGATCACAACCTGACATATGCGCATCGAGAAGAAATGCAAGATTGCAATTACGCATCAGGTGTTTGTGAAAAATATAAAGGAGTTTGCATACTATGTCCTTGCATTAGTAGAAGCGAACGCAAGGATAATAACTAGTGATGCATTGGGTTGATTGGAACTCTTCACGTGAAGTTGCTCAGATATGTATGTTGTTCTTGGAATGATTATTGCTACCAAGATTTCTTAAGGGACCTCCCTGTTCGTCGTTGCACTTCTTGATTTCAAGTTCATTCCACGCGGCTCAGTGATTAATGCACCAGCAAAGCCAGTGCACATAACGTGACTAGGTACTCCGCAAAGTTAACAAAATATCATAAGGTGGTTGACTCACGCTGCGGAGATGCAGAAGATCGGCGATCGTGCACATTTTATGACTCTTGCAGCAATAGCCTAGCAACACATGCACACAACTGTTGCATGGCCTCACGAGTTACCATCTGCCCGCGCTAAGGGAAAGCAGTTCTTCTCTTGAAATTTTGTTGTCTAGCCTTTAAAGAGTCTGTGCCGAGCTGGATGCTCACATACACCA